AATCACAGCTCAGTAGAATTAAATTTTTATTCATTCATCCAAAAGATTTCAACACTAATGATCTAAATCTCAAAGTACTGCTTAGGAAGGTAGCTAGATGAGTACACAGTGCTTTTCTTTCTCGTTTTTATTCAGTTTCATGCATGTTTTTACCTTTAATTTACGGTGGAAAAAACTACTTTAGTCACTCGTGTTGCATGAATGAGCAGTTCTTAGGAAAGCTAAGACCCACAACTTACTCGCTTTGTTATTGCCTGTTTCCTCACCATTCTAGCAATACACACAACTACTTCCTGCAATGCATTATAATCCTCATTATTGCAGAGAGTGTAGTACAATTTTATCAAATACAACCAGAGGGTTTTTCATTCTCCTGTGGGAATTATTGCGATCGCTTTCAAATTGTTATTATTTGATATTGTTATGAATGCAGTAGGTTTCCTGGAAATAAGGTCTGTTTTCTGAAAATTCAGACGATTTTTAGTTTTTGATGACAGCCTTTATTAAACAGTACAAGGGTAAGCACTTTATCACTTAACCAATATACAGTTTAGGGTTAAAGGCTGAACTTCAATAAAACTGGGAAAATATTGGTATGAATAATAATGCTTTACATGGCTAATATAAGCATCATTTTCTCAATTTGATGAAAACAGCAACCTTATGTCTTTGTACTGAGTATACATACAGGATTCTCTCTGCATGACGTCACACTGGGTCAAGGGGAGGAGACACACTGACCTGCTCCGTGAGACGCCGTGTCCTCAGGAAGAAACCCAAAAGACATCCAATGACCACAGCCATCACTGACATGATGAGGAGCCCGTTCTGCTTGCAAACATTCTTCACCCTCACCCACACTGCATCCAAAGCCATGGCCATTGTGAGTCACCTGTCGTCTGTCCTCTCAGCAATCCATAAATATGGCCCAACCAAAGCTTTAAACTCCAGGTGTAAGAATGAAGGAAAAATATAAAATGAATGAAGAAAAACTATGCAAAATATCCACTCCTCTGCGACGTTTTAAAGCACCTTTCGGCTCAGCATTCCTCTTGTCTTTACGCTGCAGCAATCTGCACTAAGCTAAGAGGATCCTCTCACTTTCCAGGCATGTCCTCCCATCCTGCCCCACCCATCAGCATCCCTGTGTGGGCTGACCCACTGTGAGTGGGTGGGAACAGCTGGCAACCATGTCACAGGGGGTTAAAGATTCCCAATCCTGTTATAGTGCAACTGTATTAAATAGGTCTGAAGCTGGATTAAAAGTCCATGAACAATTTGACAAAGGTTAGCAGAGTAACCTTACGGACCCTCTGAGAAAACAGGGGGATATGTCTCACACACAGTGGTCATAGAACTGCTTTTTGAAAACTTTATGTTGGATAAATCAGCAAAGCAGAATTCATGATGATCCTGGGGTTTGCAACCCAGTATCACCAAGAACAATGCTCATACAGGATTTTGGACAATTTGCTTCCAAACCTTGTCACCATTTTACTATACCCAAATAAGATCTTCCTCAACCTTAAACAAATTCAATGAAGATGTTTTAATTAACAATGTTCACTATTTGGGCATTTGTGCCATTTGTGTCAGTAAATGAACTACACTAATCTCTCATATCATCTAACAATGTTATTTCAGTTCCCTGAGGTTTGTGGGCATCCATTTATATACCACTCTCTTAAGCATCTCAGTCAGGTTTAGGTCTGGACGTCTGACTGGTCCATTGGAACATCTTGATTCTTCAGTCATTCTGTTCTGCTGTGCTTTGGATTATTGTCCTGTTTCATGACCCAGCTTTGGCCTAGTTTTAGCAGACCGACAGATGGCCTCATATTCGACTCTAGAATACTTTTGTAAACAGTGGAGTTTATGGTTCAACTCAGCGACTGCCCAAATCATCCGCCCTCCAACACCCTACTTGGCAGCTGGTAGGACATATGGTAAATGGAGTGATTCTTATATAGCGCTTTTCTACTCTCCTGGAGTACTCAAAGTGCTCTATACAACATGCCTCATTTACCCATTCACACCCACTTCTATACACAAGTGCAAACTAACCTGCATTCACACTCCAATGAACGCATCGGAGGGCAACTTGGGGTTAGTATCTTGCCCAAGGATACTTGACATGCAGACTGGGGAAGCCAAGGATCGAACCACCGACCTTGCGATCAGTAGCTGATCTGCTCTACCACCTCAGCCACAGCCACCCAATCTCATCTGTCCTGATGTCTTCTGGTTTCTTCAGATACAGCTTTGCCACTCTTAGCCATGCTGCCACGTTCCTTTTTAGAGAGAATAGGCTTTCTCATGGCAACCTTTCCAAACATACCACATCATACGTATTCAGTTTCCTCTTAACTGTATGTTACTTCTAAGATGCTAAATGAGGCCTGTAGAGTTGAGACATATTTGTCTTGAATGTTTTCCACTTATTAATAATCATTCTCACTGGAGAATCGTGGACTAAATTGTTTGGAAATGATCTTATAGGCCTTCACAGACTGATGGGCTGCAGCACTTGCTTCTTAAAATCACTACTGATCTCTTTTCTCCTTGGCATTATTTTAACACCCACCTGAATGCTGGAGCTCAGAAAACTGCCAAAACATCTGCTTTTATAGAGGTTTCACACTTTAGATGCCGATGAGCATTTAATCAAGTGCATTTGATTATCAGCTCTTGTCGCTAGTTACTTAATTTCCTGAGAGCAGAAGGGGTGTAATTAGTTTTTCACGCACTGCTTTTAGCTTAGTTTTTGTTAAATAAATAATTATATCATGTGATAAGTCATGTTTTGTAGCTTATCTGAGGTTATATTTACCTCATTTTATTTTTTTTTCTTGTCCTGATAAGTAAAACCTTAAGCTCTAAAGAGGGTATACTTAATTTGTTTTTCTACCATTGCTTGTGTTTGACATATTATATATTATATATGTGTTTGGATATTCAAGAAAATAAAAAGACATTTCTTCATTACCTGCCTGTTGGAAGGAAACAAGAAGTAAAGAAAAGATGCAAGCAAGTGTAGAAATTGAAGCGAGATGTTAACATAGACAAAGCGTGCACACTAAAGAAGGTGTTGTACCAAGAAGAGATACCTAAAGCAAGGCAGGCGATCACAGTGGAGTGAAACACACAAGGACAGGAAGTGAAGACTTTACCAAAACCAAGTGAGGTGAGTGAGTCAAAACAAAAGTAAAAGGAAAGCAAAAAGGAAATGAAACAAAGAAGAAGATGACCTTGGGAGCAGGATCAGGTGTGATAGTCTAATCCTCAGGATAACAGCTGCGATTTGCTACTTAACCTTCTCTTAGAAAAAATTACTTTGACATGATTAAGAACAAAGAGAAACTATTTTGTTTAAAATCCACATCTCATTCTTTCATATATAATACATTCTGAATATATACTATATACCCCTCATTAAATTACAATTCAAGTGAAATTAATTTCTAACCTCTTTTTTATCTCTCGAGCCATGCCAGGCAACTTCTGGTGAAGCACAGAATGAATTTTGAGAAACAGTTAAATGAGGCATATAATTCAAGTTCATACAGAGGTCATGTTCAGCTATTATCTCCTCAAGTTTTCCGACTTGGCTGTCATCTTCACTCTTCTCATGCAAGTACACGGAGCACTTCTATCCTATTTTAAAATCGGGGTATATTTTTGATTATTTCTATTTAATACAACCCTCTCTGAAGGGATAACTTGATTGAAAAAGTCACACTATTGTGACTTTGGCCCTGTCTGCTTTCACTGAAGGTGATAATCTGAAGAGCTGCTTATTGTGTTGTTGGTTTGCTTCTCTGGTCATCATTCAAATTCAAAATTCAATGAGAAAAACAAGTGACTAGGATGACTATAGAACTGGTGAATAGGTCTAGCAGGCAGACGAACCAAGGGCAGTTTATATAACTGTGTCCGTGCTTTGCAGATGAAGTACTTCATGGTATAGTATATCTGTCATTTAAATAGGTCTGTCATATTTTTACGTAAACCTGGAAATAATCAGAAAGTTTAGATTCATAAACAAAAGAAGGAGAAATATTTCTGATTCTCTGCTGCATTTCTAGGCCATCAATAAGCAGATGTGTGACACTGGTCATGTCTCAGTCAATTTTACTAACAGCTGCATTTCCACGAGTTATACATTTCCTCTGAAGCAGCATTGAGATGATAATCAGGTGGATTTAAACGACTCATCAGAGGCTTGCTGGGGGAAATCAATCTGCAGCTTAGCTCACCTGTGGCTTGTTAAAAAATAAAAAGTTTTACTGCCGAATGTTGGTTTGAATGACACTTTGAATGAACATTTTCTCTCATTGGTTATGTGACTTACTTTGTCAGCTCATATTAAAAAGGTGGCACACAAAGGATGGCGCTCACCTAGATCTAGCACTTGCACGGCACAAAGGTCTGTTCAATGCACCATGATTTCATGCCGCAAAAAAGGAGAAATAGTTTTGCTATGCTCTGTTGGAACTGAATGCATTCGTGTTGCAAATACAACCTCATTTACAAGCACATTAGAGATTTAGTACCACCGCTACAGTGGGAAAAAGAACTGAAGTGTTTTTGTTTTTCTGAGTACAGGGCAGCAGAGGCTAGACTGAAGGTTTCCAAGGTGGCAGATTAAAAACACACAATGTGGAACTGTTGTACCATAAAAAGGCCAAGTACAGTTTGCTGAAGGTAAAAGAGCTTGTTAGCCAGTTCTGCTCTGAGAGCACGAAGGTCAAGAAATATATAAAGGTCTTTGATGTTTTGCATATTCACAACTATATGCATGTGTTTCTTCTGTATTTAAGTGTGTTTTAAGGTTATGGGGAATAAAAGTAACCTTGACAGGTGTTTATCAGATGCCTCTTGCTCTGGCTTTTCAAGTTGAAATTGGCTGAAGGATCTCCAGTCTCTTTACATCACACAGAGCCATGAGAAAAAACTGT